AGGAACGAGAGGCAGAGGCTTGGTGCAAAGGCGAGCGAGCGCACCCACAGGGCCCTAGTTGGGCGAGTTTCAACAGGTTTGGGGAGCACCGTCTTGTCAGATGCTGGATGAGTTGCTCAATGGCTAATCCAGGGTGGAGGGAAGAAAGTCAAACCCTAGCAGACAGCTGGGTCCCGGCTGCCGCCTGTGCAAACCCCTCAGGCAGAGCCTGGTCTTGCTCCCCCTGTATGGAGGGTGGGAAAGATTCAGGCTGGCTGGGAGGCTCTGCTCTAGCTAGTGAGGGAGGGTTCAGCCTGCAGATCTGCCCCACTGTGGGACTTTCAGTATCAGCTGAGCCCGAGGAAAGTGAAGAGAGATAGACAGGGATTCCTAGCCCAGGCCACCAACCCTCAGTGACTGAGCCCTTCTTTCACTGACCCATTGAGCATGCATAACCTGACAGGTATGTGCCAGGTACTAGGGGGACATATGTGTGTCATAGAGCCATGACCTCCCAAGTATCAGAAGCCACATAACCATGTCGCATGTAGTAGGAGGTGGTTACTTTACTTATATCAGAACTTGAGACTTGGACTTGGTTAAGGCCCTGATTCTTCTAGAGCTCTGAGGGGGGCTGGAGCGCCCCCCCCTGCTCTGGGAGAGAAGGGAAGACATCCATTCACCAGGTGTGCCAGGGAGTCTTGACCCTGCCTCACCCGTGGGACCCATTTGGTGATGTCTGTAGATACTGGGTCATCAGCTGGCATGGGGTGAAGTGTGTGTTCCTGGTTTCTAGGAGTGAGGAGGCTTCACATACTGCTAAATGCCCTAGGGTGTCTATCAAAAAATACCCACAATACCAGGGTGGGGAAGGGTCCTAGAATAAACCGTAAAGTGCTTAGAGTGTGTTAGTGACTGTCATGGGAGAGGCTCCAAGGACACCGGCTTTTACTATTTACAGGGGGAGGGAGGAGACCAATGAAACATTCCTGGGGAAGACAGGCCACTTCTTTACCTATAGGGCTGGTTGGTCTACCCATGCCTGGACTGCTGAGTCACACCACCCCACTTTGCCTGTAGCCTGGGGAGTCATGCATCCCTGCTGGGCAAACAGACATGTGTGAGCTTGGCTTGGGGATACCCACCTGTGGGGATTTGGGACCACTAAGGTACTTGGCACCTCTTTTTATTCTCCCCAGGGGTACTGAAGTGTGTTTCTGGTAACAACCCTCTGGCCATCAGGATGCCCGCAAACCAGGCTGGATCTCCTGGCTGAAGAACAGGCAGGGGGCAGCCTGGCTCCTATCTTTGTAAAACTATAGGGTCTGGACAGCACTGGTTGGGACAAAAGGAGCTTAAGTACCCATTCTTTTCATCATCCCTATAGACAAAGACGTGGCTCTACAGCTCAGTGACAGCAGTGCCCAGGCTCTAGCAGCTGCCAGGGAGGGCCCCCATCTCTATTAGCATGCCTGGCTTTGTGCCTTGCATGTTGCATGCATGGGCTTACTACTCCTGAACACCACTGTGAACCGTGTGCACCCATGAACACTACTTTACAGATGACAGGCAAGGTCTCTGGGGGGGGGGGCGTTAGTTGCAGAGCTGGGGTAGAAACCCTGGGATGTCTTGTCCCGGAGCCCCAGCTCTGAGCCACTCTTTGGGCCTGACTTTGAGTACAGTAGGGGTTTCTTGTTTTATTCAATGGGTTCGGTTAACACCCCACTCAATGCACTTCCTGGGAAAACACACAGTAGAGATAACTCACTTTTTCTGTCCTCAACTCTTCCTAGTTCTTCCATTTGGGGTTCAAAACAAGCCCAGAGGGAGGAGGGAGGAAATACCTCATTCAAGGCCACCCAGAATGAAGCATGGAACTGTGACCCAAGCCCAAGTGTCCCTGACCCCTGGGTGCAGCCTTGGTGCTCCGGCATGACTCAGACATAGCAGGGTAGTTCTTTGAGGGTCAAGTACAGGCTTTCTACCACTAACTGTGTATTCCCCCATTCCTCCTTCACCAGTGGGAGCCGCACAAGCTGCCACTTTGCTCTAGATGCCAAACATCAGCCTATTCAACAGCATCCAGCTTCTCTGGGCTTGCCCAGCCTCAGGCTGCATAGCTCTCCCAGCTCCAGCGCCTGCATGCAGAGAGACACCTGGCTTCTCCACCAGGCTAGTGTCCTGAGCCGTTGGACAGCACAGACTCTGCAATCAGCTATCAATCCATCATGGATGGGAAGCCTGTCTCTCTAGGGACACCCAGGCCTTGTACCCTCGGGATATGCTGTCAGCTATCCTCTTGGGGCCAGGCCCACAGCTTGGCTCATCCCCTTTTTATATTTATTTATTTGTACCTCTGTGCATGCATGTGGAGATCAGAGGACAACTTGTGGTAGTTGATTCTCTCCTACCATGTGTGTGGGTCCTAGGGATGGAACTTGGCAGCAAGTGTCTTTACCCACTGAGCCATCTCAATGGCCCTTGGCTCACCCGTGAAAGGACACAGTGCCATCACCATGCCTATATGGACAGCTGCCAACCCAAAGTTGTTGCTTATGGAGGCTGGATTGGATAGCTCTGCCATTTACTAGCTAAGTACCTCTGTGGCCCTCAGTGGTCTCATCTGTAAGATGGGGTTCCGATGTAGTGAGAATTCAGAGAGTGCAGTGGGTAATGAGTGTTATTAAGTCATTGTTCTCCAGTCTCCAGCCTTCTGTGATTGCCACAGCAGCAGCTCCCCACTGCTCTGGAGCAGGCGCGCTGTCCTTTCCATTCAGGCTGTGGCTTCTCCTGTGTTTTTTTACCCAGACCCAAGCTTCTGGGAGGTTAGACTCTGGCACCCGTTTCCCTAGGGACTTGTCCAGTTTCTGGCTGAGGATGGAGGTGTTTATATATACACGGCAGTGATCCCAGTTTGGGGGTGTGTGCCTGGGGCCTCTTCTGCTTCAGAGCCTCTCTAATTTGGTAGGGTCCTGGGAAACCCCTTCTTTACTCCTCTCTGAGTTGTGTAGAGAGAGCCGTGACTTGAAGCCCTCATGGCGGAACAGAGTGAACTGGGTTGCCTAGAGCCAGGCTGCATGGCAACAGGAGCCATCACCGTTGCAGAGAACAGGTTTGCCAACCTCTCCAACGCCAGGCCTCCCCTCCTCACCCACCCCCCACAGTGCAGGCTCAAAGCTCAAGAACTGAGCTCTGGAATTCCCCATGCTTTGCAAGACCTGAAGCTGGGCCTGCCTCCCTAGCTGGGACCAGGGCGTGGTGGACATGGCTGGAGGCAGGTGGCAATTCCACCTGGGTGTACTGGGTCAACTTCGGGACAGCCTCAGGCAAGAAGTAGATTATCATTGTCTGGAGACCAAAGCATGTGGGTTCAGTCTTCAGCTCTGAGTCAGTAAGTAGCTCCTTTCCCTGGGCCTCAGTTTCCTCATTTGTAAAGAGAGCTAAAGAGCCAGGAGCTCCCGGGGGCCTTTCCCTGGCAGCTGTCTCTGTGTTTGCTGCAGGCCTGGCTCACACACTTCAGATCCTGCTTCTTTCTTTCTTTCTTTCTTTCTTTCTTTCTTTCTTTCTTTCTGTCTTTCTTTTCTTTTCTTTTTTTGTAGTGCTTGGTGCTGGGCAGGTCAGAACCTTTTCTAGTTCCCCTGATGTTCATGCCTTTCTAAGAGGCAGCTTCAGATACCCCGAGACTCCTTCAAGTCTAAAGCAGTTCCCTTCCGGCAACCCAAGTTTGCCACCCAGGTCCCACGGGAGGGGGGTAGTGGCTCTGCCCCGGTTTCTGTCCACTCTGCCACTGCCCCTCAAGTGTTAATCAAATTAAGACTCCAAGAAAAACAAAGGCTCTGCAGCCACTTTGGGCCTTGGAGTCGCTAGCTCTCCGAACAGCTGGGAGAATTCCATATCACCTCAGTCTCCCAAGCTCTGGGTGGCTCTGACCCCAACGAACACACTCCTTTCCAGTCTACAGGGCCCTGGCTGGCCACAATGACCTCATAGCAACAGCCATTGGACACTCAGGGCAATTTCATGGGAGATATTTGTTCTTTGGTCTTGATGCAGAGAGAATTTTTCCTTTCCCACTGTCTCCATGGAAACCCCAGCTACACTGTTGGCTATCCCCCCCCTTCCCACCTCATGCTTTTCAGATCAATACTGGAGCTTGGCTCCCCACTGGCTGCCCACAGTGGAAGGCAGCAGCGCTCTGGGCTGGAGAAGTTGGGGCCAGGGTTAAGCCAGGGCCATGGGGTAGTGTCACCAAGGAGGGATGAAGGAGCCGAAGGTCTAGTTCCTTGTTCTCGTAGTCACTGGCCCATCTCCTTAGCTTTCCTCCTCTTTCCCAGGGATCCTCCTGAGTGCAGACCCAGTCAAGGAGAAACACTCAGGTCACCAGTGGTTACCACCCCCTTCCTTCTCAGGCAAGACCCTTAGAGGTGGATGGGGGCCATCGCCTTCTTTATTAAAGGTTGGGAGAAGTTTCTTCCTGCCTAAGGGAACAGCAAGGTCCTGCCAGAGCCAGCCTGCGGGCTCTCAGAGGCTCGGCGTCCCGGTCCTCGCCTTCTATGCCTGGCTCCCGCCCCCCAAGCAGAAACAGGTCCCTGCACGCCTCCAGCCCAGCCCGCAGCGCGGCGCGGGGAGCTCGCGCCCAGACTCCTCAGGATTAACCTGCTATTATGCCCGGGACTCCTTCCCTATAGTGGGCTTCTTCGGCGACTTGTCAGCCTGCCCGATTGCGTCCCGCACCGCTCCGGGGACACCGCCCCGCGCTCGCACCCCCTGGCGCCCTCGAGCACTCAGGGCCACGTCCGGGTGCAGACGCTGCCAGCCTTGCTGCCCCGGGCCAGGAAGCCTGATCCGGGGCAGCTGGGGTCCCGGGACCTCCAGAGGGGAGCCGGGACAGTGGTGGTGGCCGGTAGAACGAACGGGCGGGAGCGCGAGCCTTGGGTCTCGCGGCCGAGACACCTGCCGGGAGCCCCCGTGCCCGCTGCCCGAGGGTCCGCCCCACCCGCCCGGTCCCCGGCCCGACTTACAGCCAGTTGCTCGCGGCGGCCGAGAACACGGCGAAGACAAGGAGTCGCAGCGACCGCAGACACGAGCGGGGGCTCATGGTGTCTCGGGCGCCCGGCCCCGGGCAGCGTCCGCGAGGCTCCCGTCGGGGCGGCAGGTGGGCGCCGCGCGGACGGGCTGGGGCGCCGGGCCGGGGCGCGCGGCGGGGCTCAGCCTCCGAGCAGCCGGCCGCGCCGCCCGCTGCTGCGCCCGCTGCCCGGCGGACCCGACTGTCAGCGCCGCCCCAGAGCCGGGATGCGGCGGCAGCGGCGGAGGCGGGCGGGCGGCCGGCGGGGCGGGCCGGGGGCGGGCCGAGGATGGGGTTACCTGGGCGGGTCCAGCGGCGCGGGACACCCCCCCCCCACGGGGGCGGGCCTGAGCCCGCGGGACTGGGCTTCTCCTGGGGGGCCTTCCCGGCTCGGCGCCTTGACGCGCTCGGAGCCCCAGCCCGCTGCAGGCACGCCTGGCCGCACGCCGCCCAGTTGGGCAGAGCTAGAGGCGCGGCGACCCAGCTGCTGGGTCCCCGCCCGGGGCCTTAGGGACGGGCGGGCACAGCTCCCCCAGCCCGCCGCTGCGGGCACTGCAGCGCCGCCCTGGCCGCGCCCCGCGGCCCCCCGCCGGCGCCTGGGAGCCGGGATCCCCGGTCGACCCCGGCGGAGCCACCCGAGCGCGGCTGCCACTCGCGCGCACCCAGGCGCTAGCGCTCCGGGCGCACCAGGCTGCGGTGCCGCCCGCCTGTCCCCGCCGTACCCCTCCCGGCCCTCAGGCCCCCGCGTTCTGCGGTCCGGCCCCTCCCTAGTGCTCACCTCCCTCCAGCCTTCCCGGAGCTGGACAAGGGCCTCCCTGCTTCGGGCAGCTTGGGACAGTGGCCTGAGACTCCGGGAATCCGAAACCTTGCTTCTGGATCGCCCTGGGTTCTGGCGCGCTCAAGGCAGCAAGGTCTTGAGTGAACCCCTCGCCTTTCTGAGTAGACCTTACACTTAGGGACTGGAAGGCTGTGGAGGTCTCCTTTAAGTACAGGCACCAATCCTAGCTTTGTGCTTGGGTTTCTGTGCGCTTTTTTTTTTTTTTAATTTCTTCTCTCACACCAGGCAGATTCAGCCCTTAGCTTGGTGTCTGGCACAGAATGAGTGGGTGCCACGTTTGTGGAATGAATGGATCGAGTGGAGTTACCGCTTAAAAACCTATGCCTGGCTGAAGTAGAAGCTTAATTCTGTATTAATAGTTACCTGCCATAGCTGGGCCACAACCTTTCCAGGTTTCTGATAGAGTCCAGACTCCTCTGCCCCTGCCTGGGGCTACATCCCATGAGCTAGAGAAGCCCCCTGTCTAAACAGAGAGCCAAAAGCCCAGAGACCCTGCTCTATGCCACTAAAAGCAAGGGGTAGAGAAAGGCACCAGGCCTCTGTCCTTGTAGAACCAGCTGTGTTCTCTGTGTGAGTTTGGCTGCCCACCCCCACCATGGCCACATTTGACTCCTGGAGTTGTCTGGGTTAACACAGGAGGGGCTTGATAAGCTTTTGGCACAGGGACTGGGCAGAAGGTGGTAGAGGTCCGTGGAGGCCGGCAAAAGTGCAGATGCGAGTTCGTGTACCACAATGTCTAAATATTTGCAGGTTATAAATCAAGCTAATAAAATGAGGAGTAAAATATGTTCTAGTCTGCTCTCACAAACATGCTTTCATAATAATAACACGCAAAGCTGCTCTGAGTGTAGGCTGCTTACATTGCATGGGTCCTGCGTGGTGCAGCATCGAGGGGCATTGAGAGGGGCCCCTGGTGCCTGGTCCTGACTCTCACCTTTTCCCACCTCTGCCTCTCCTGCCCTCCAGGGACTCGTGTGCACACATGTAAACATCTCAGCTTGCATAGACAAACTTTGTCTCCCCTGCCCTCTCCACCCCAGCCCTCCACCCACCTGAAAGCTGACCCTTGGCTATCCCTCAGCCTGAGGGCTAGACACACTAGTGTGCAGTGTGTCCTCTCAGGTTGGATCTTCAAGAGAGATCCACCTATCCTGGAAGTTGGCTAGAGTCACCTGTGCAAGGAAGCCCCGGAGCCTAGTATCCAGAGTGACAGCCAAGGAGGGGATCCAGGCTCCTGGTGAACACATCCCCTTGGCCCCATGATCTTCTCTCCCTGTGTTAAGAGTCAGTGAGCTAGAGAAGGGCCAGACTGTGGGATGTTCAGGGCAGGGCCATTCTTAGGCTTAAGGGTGGTGCAGGATTCCTAAGCTATTTTGAGCCAATCTGGAGACTGAGTATAGTGATAGAAAATAATAAATAAATCACAATTTAAATGGCAGTAGGCAATTAATTTAGGGTGCCTATTATAACTCCAAGTCGGGACATGTATGTTATAGGCTTTTCTGCTGGCATTCTACTCATCTTTAAAAATATTTAAGTTTATTTATTTAAGTTTTATTTTCAAATTACATACCACTGTGTGGGTATATATGAATAAGGTAGGTACCCAAAGAAGCCAGAGGCATCCAGTCTCTCTGGGACTGGAATTATAGGTGGTTGTAACCTGCTCACTATTGGTGCTGGAAACTGAATTTAGGTCCTCTGCTAGAGCAGTGTACAATGTTAACTGCTGAGCCATCTCCCCAGCCCATTATTTATTTATCTCTATGTGTGTGTGCTATGGTGCACTCCTGCAAGTCAGAGGACAGCTTGTAACAGTCAGTTCCCTCCTTCCACCATTAGGTTCCGGGATCAAACTCAGGTCGTCAGGCTTGGTAGCAAGTGCCTTTACCAATGAGCCATCTTGCAGAGTACAAATCATGACATTTAAAAATGGTGATAGGGGACCCTAACCAGAAGGTTTGCTGGGAGATCAGATTTAAACCAGGACCATGCTAGGCAGCCTTGGATGTACTGTTCTGAGATCCTGAATCCTTGGTGCCAGCATTGGTCTGGGGTCTCTGCCTATGTTTTCTGTTGAAGCCTTGCAACACACAGATCCCAACCACAAGTGACTGTGGTTATCTCCTCCACTTCATAGAGGAGGAAGCAAGAGAAAGCGGGGGTCCTGGAGCCCACCATGGACTTCCAGTGACATTCCCTGGTCCCTTTTTCCACTTCTTTCTGAGTGTTGGAGTAGGTCCCCACCCGGAGTGGTGGGGTGAACGAGCCCTGTGAGCTGGAAAGAGCCGCCACGAGAGAGGAGGGTGCTGAGGCCAAGGCCAGGGAGGCTCGCCCTGATCTCTGATAAGGGAGGGAGGGCCTTCTCTGAGTCAGTGGAAAGCTTACTGGGAAAATCTCTTTGAGGAAGTGTGCTCTCCTAACTTTCAAGACCCGTTCGACCGTGAAGATACAAACACAAACTAGTTAAAAAGTTCAATTGCCGGTTGCCCTGCAGTGTGGGTGCAGCCATTGTCCCAAGGGCTTTGCCTTTATGAACTTTTTGTTTGTTTAGTGGTACTGGGGATGGAGCCCAGGGCCTCACACATTCAGACAAGTGTTCTACTACTGAGCTATATATATATATATATAGCCCAAGGCCTCAATAGTTCTTTGTGTATGTGTATGTATGTATGTGCATGTGGAGACCAGAGGACAACTTCAAATGTTCTTCCTCAGGAATGTCATCTATTTTATTTTTGAGACAAGGCCTCTTATTGTCCTGAAGTTGCCAGGCTAATGAGCCCCAGGGATCCCCCTGACTCTACCTTCCCTGCGCTGGGATTTCAAGTGTGGGTCACTATGCTTGGCTGGTTTGTTTGTTTGTTTGCTTGCTTGCTTTAACAGGGTTCTGGGGATAGAACTCAGGACCCATGTCTACTTTGCCGACTTTACTGACTGAGGGCAGCCCCTCAGAGTTAGCCACTATTAAGGATTCTGCTCCTATTAATCTTCTGGTACTAGGCAGAGCTGGTGGAGATTGAACCCAGGGCGTTGCACACAAGTGCAGAGTACAGTACCACTGAGCCGCAGTCCCAGAGCACTCCTGACTGTCATTCTGGGTCCAGCTCCAGAAACAGATACTATTAGTCGTGTGTATGGGGAATGGAACCCTGTTCTAAAGCACTTTAACACAGGCCAACAGCCCAGGGCCTATTATTACCATTTCTGTTTGGATGTAAAGATTGGTTTGTCATGCCACGTGACCAGCGAGTGCCACAGAGTTCAGAACAGCTTAGATGCCCTGGTCCATATGTGAGTCAGTATCTCAGTCTAGAAAGGGGAGGCGGTGTTTACATGTGGGACGGTTATAGGCTCTTTCTGGAAGTTATCATTAGTTCTCCAGGCCTGAGATGTTGCTAGTCAACTCTAACTCTCTCTATGACCAGAGCTTTGAGTGCCCTACATATAACAGGACATGATCATCCCCTCACTTTCCACATGGCCTATTTAAATGTGTTTGTTTATTTTTGTTTGTTTGTTTGTTTTGTGACAGGTTTTCTTTCTGTAGCCCTGGCTGTCCTGGAACTCACTCTGTAGACCAGGCTGGCCTCAAACTCACAGAGATCATCTTGCCTCTGCCCCCAAGTGCTGGGATTAAAGGCATGCCACTACCTGCTGGCATTATTTACTTATTTTTGGTAAGAGTGAACACAGAGCTTAATGCAAGTGTTCTGTCTTGGAGTGATGGCCCTGAGCCCTTTATACTTCTCAAATTTTATTTTACTTTTAATTATGTGTAGGTGTGTTTCTGTGTGGGGGCGTGGCACATGAATGCTGGTGTCTGCAAATGCCAGAGGTGTCAGGTTCCCGGGAGCTGAAGTTACAAGCAGTTGTAAGTCATTTGATGTGGGTGCTGGGGACTGAACTTGGGTCCTCTGGAAGAGCAATACACTCTTAGCCGCTTGGCCTTCTCTCCAGTCTGCCCTTTTGTATTTTAAGTGTTGAAACAGGATTTCAACAAGTTGCCCAGGTTGACACTGAACTTGCCAGCCTCTTGCCTCCTGAGATTACAGATCTATGCACAAGACTAAGCTGAGTGGCCCACTTTCAGAGTGAGTTCTTTTTACCCTATTAAGTTCACTCAGGAAGAGAAGCCAGATTTTATTTTAATTTTATTATTGTTTTTTGTACTAGGGGTAGAATCAGGGTCTTCAAAATACTACACCAGTACTTTACTACTGAGGTTAGCCCTTGGCTGTGTGTGTACGTGTGCGTATGTGTGTGTGTGTATGCATGCACACGCATGCGTTCCTGTGCAGGTCAGAGGTCAGGCGTCTTCTTCAGTCACCCTTTACCAAACAATGGAG